TGGCCTGTTTTATTGAATAACACCCTACCTCCACCTTCCCACAATCCCTAACTTCTGTCTCCATTATTATTCATTCTCTGGGGTATAAGGTCAGTTTGGTGATTCCACTCAGCCTCTTGTTTGCCACCTAAAGTTCCGACTAATTCGTGGTATGTGGTATTTGCAGCACTGAGTCAGCCATACATCAAACAAATCTGTTTTCTTTGCACACAGCTCATCTTCTGATTGGTCTGCAGAGAATAGTATTGCATGTTTTTTTGCTGAATAGAATATGTTTGCAGCTATAAATTATTCTTATATTGAGTTATAATGTGATCTACTTCAGCTTTGTCTGTATTGTAGTTTTCTAATTGACTTCTCTCCCTCTCTCGACAGTACCCCCAGCTGTTTACAGGCATCCTGTCTCCGTGGAAGGGCTTGCTGCTCTATGGCCCCCCAGGTATGACCTCAAGTGCTGTAAATCTTAATGTAAAAACTTAATCAGAGGCCTACTTGAAAGAATCTTATTAAGTCCTACATTATGGAATTCTTCCTGAAATGCATCTCTCAAAACCACAGGTACGGGTAAGACGCTGCTGGCCAAGGCCGTGGCTACAGAGTGTAAGACGACTTTCTTCAACATCTCAGCCTCCAGCATCGTCAGCAAGTGGAGAGGAGACTCTGAGAAACTGGTCCGGGTAGGCTATTCTTCAACACACACACTACAGCAAATGCAACAGATCAGGAAAAAAGGAAACAACTTTACATATATTACTCGCATCGTATCATTTTGTTTGGATTTATTGTAAATCTATGTATCTACATGTCTGCAGGTTCTGTTTGAGCTGGCCAGGTACCACGCTCCATCCACCATCTTCCTGGATGAGCTGGAGTCAGTGATGAGCCAGAGAGGAAACAGCATAGGGTGAGCTCAACCAGAAAGTGTGGTAAATGGGAATGTTATCTCCCCAGTGCTGGAGGTTAGTGGTTCACTCCCTGCAACAATGTGTCTGTTTACCTAGAGCGTGCTTGAGCAGACTGGTTGTTTCTGGATGTTTTTACATCAGACATTTGTACAAAACAAAATTCATAAGCAACTGATACAACAGTAAATGCAATTTTAGCCAGATATTTTCATGAATGAGTATTTCAAATTGGAAATGGAAATTTGATGCAACAGCAAACGCATGTCTCTTTTCAGAGGAGAACACGAGGGGAGTCGCAGGATGAAGACTGAGCTGCTGGTTCAGATGGACGGACTGGCGAAATCAGAGGACCTGGTGTTTGTACTGGCTGCCTCCAACCTGCCTTGGTAACACTTTAACTTAAAAACACAACACATATTTAGAAAGTATTTTATCTTTCGTATTGATAATGACAATCAGTAATGGAAGAAGCTTTCATACCCTTTACTTAACTAGCAATACCACACTGAAAATGTAAAAGTGCTGCATTCAAAACCTTACTCAAGTAGAAGTATTATCAGCAAATTTCAGTAAGTATCAAAAGAAAAAGTATTCATTATGCAGAAAATTGGTCCCTCTCAGGGTTTTGTATTATTACTGCTGCATTAATGTGCTTATGTTGCACTTTACTGTTGGGTAGTTAATCTATAGCAATGCGTTATTATTCTTTAATTTCATTTGTTTGTAGCGTTGCTGTCCTGTGAGAACGAGTTATCTCTATAAAAGTCCAACTTTTCATCAATAAAACCAGCCCTGTTTCCACCTTTGTCACAATGCATTTATCTGATCTGATTTTTAAATAGTTTATTTATCTTAAAAAGGAGGACAATTTCCTCAATCAATACAGTAACACTTTATCTCTTATTATTTATTAAGAACGTAGTGGAATATTTACCTCTGAGATGTTGTGGAGTAGAAGTATAAAGTTGCATAAAATGGAAATGCCTAATTAAAGTACAAGTAACTCTAAATTTGAGTAAATGTACTTTCCACAACTGATGACAACAAATTTGCAAGCATTTGTGTTGCCACCATATCCGCAAATAGAGATGAAAGACAGACGTAAGTGGTAGACACTCCCTCATGCTGTATTTTTCTTTGTGTTTTACTGGCTCAACTTAGTTTGTGTTGGCTTGAGATGATTTCAATATTTCATATCTAATGAACTAAACAAACTGCAACATACGTTTAGTTATTTTGCAGCCAAAAATACATAAAGAGTTGAACAAAATGTTCTATTTTACTGAATTCTTCAAACGAGGTGCATTTTTTGTCAATAATGAAAAATACACATAATTCAGGATATCTGAACTAGAAGTGAACTGCATGCTTTCTACTGTTCCTGCTTTTCTCTCAGGGAACTGGACCATGCCATGCTGAGGAGGTTAGAGAAGAGGATTCTCGTTAGTCTTCCCTCCTCGCCAGCTCGCCAAGCCATGATCTCTCATTGGCTGCCTCCTCTAAGCTCCACAGGAGGGGTGGAGCTACAAACTGAGCTGGACTATGAAACTCTGGCGAAGGTGTTAAAAAAAATTCTGTGTTTTTATCATATTTATTTCACATTTTCTTTGTCATGTTTATATTAATAATTTCCATGTTTAAGATTTGGGATTGAATAA